TCTCTTCATTTCTGTGTCCTTCTGTAAATGCCTCTGCATTTGTTTCTAGAGGTTGGGAATCCAGAATGGGTCTAATTAGGCTAAAATCATGGTGTTGGAAGAGCTGCATTTCGAGGAAGATCTGCTCCTTGCCTTTTCCAACTTCTAGAGGTCACCTCCATTCCTTGGCTCAGGCACCCCCTTCCATCTTCAAGTCAGCAATGGCCAGGTGAATCTTTCTCCCTTCCCATCACTGTGAACTTGCTTCGCTCTCACATCTCCTTCTCTGGCTCGGACTCTCTGGCCTCCCCTGATTTGTAAGAACTCTGTGATCACTCTGGGCCCACCTGGAAGATCCAGAATAGCCTTCCCATCTCAAGGTCAGCTGATTAGCAAGTTCAGTGCCAACTGCACCCTTAACTCCCTTTTGTTTATGTGTATAGCACATTCACAAGTTCCTGGGGCGCCTGGCTGGCTCAGTGGGTTAAGTGGCTGACTCTTGAGTTTGGCTCAGGTCATGATCTTGTAGGTCGTGAATTTGAGACCCTCACTGGGCTCTGTGTTCACAGCACAGAGTGTGCTTAGGATTCTCTCTTTCCCTGTCTCTCTGCCTCTCCCCCACTGATGTTCGTGCTCTCTCTCTTAAAAATAAATACACGTTAAAAAGAAAATTTTCAGAGATTTGGAGGGGGACATCTGGGGAGGGGGGCATTATTTTGTCTGAATTCTATTCCATTTAAAGAGTCCTACTGTAGCCCTTTGTATCTTCCTGATTGCCCTTGCTCATTGTCACCCATGTCACAGACATGGCAGGGGAAGAAGTGCAGGCCTTACACTGTGATTTGCTTTGGGGCCTTGCAGTCCCTTCTGGATAATGCTGCCAGCCTGGGAGGTGGCTCACAGTGCCTAAAGCTGGACGTCCAGCCAGCAAACATTTATTGAGCACCTTCTGTGTGTCAAGATCTAAGCGAGGTGTTAGGGACACTATTAATATGACGATATAGTCCCTATGCAGGGAGCTCACCGTCTAATAAAGGAGAGGACCCATCCACATAAATATCCGAGTACAAAGCACGAAAGGAAGGCCGTGTGAAGCGATGTGAGGGAAAATGCTGTGAGCGGTGTCCCCATTCCAAAGGGACATCAGAGATCTGAGGCGACGGAGGTGGAGGTGGTAAGCCCAAGCTCAGCTTCCGTTCTACATTTTTAATCCTTGAATTATAAGTTAGCACAAGGAAATGCCCACAGTTCCACTTCCTTTTCCTCCTCCCGATCTGCTACCTCCACTGCGCTGATCACAGGTAACAGCTCCAGTGAGATATTTACATCCTTTTAGATACATTCTACATGTCAAAATGCTCAAATATAAAATATCATATAGACAATTTGTAACTATTCTTTGTTTTTACACAACGGGTTTATTCTATAACATTATTTTGCAACTTGAATCAGTCTCTGACAAAATTGAGGAGATTTTCCCAAGTAGTACGATGTATATGTGTATATTTCTAGGGTGAATCTCTAACTATGGAATGGCTGGGTCCAAAGATATGACCAGTTTTAATTCCAACAGATTTTGACAAGATGTCATCCAAATGTAACAAGCTGGTTTACTTTTCCTCCAATTTGGTATGGAAATAATTTCCTCCACATGCTCCAACAACCCTAGACATTATCCGTCTTCTTAACTTCTACCAATCCCAGAGGTGGAAAATGGGTATATCGGTATGGTTTTATTTTGTATTCTCCAATGATGGGTGTGGATAAACCTTTTATATATATATGTATGTATATGTACATATATGTATATATGTATGTATATGTACATATATGTATGTATGTATGTATGTATATGTACATATATGTATGTATGTATGTATATATGCCTGTTTATGTTTTAAATCTTTGAGCCATCTGAGATTTATTTTGTTATAAGAAGAGAACTTTATTTTTTCCAAATGGCAGTACTAGTTATTAAGTAATTCAGCTTTTCTCCACTGATTTGAAATACCACCCAGCTATAGATTTTAACAATTTTACCTCCACCTCCAATCTGCACCAGAGGCAAAAATCAATTCAGAATGGATGGTGGATTTAAAAATAAAACATAAAACTTAGAGAAGATAACATAGGAGAACATCTTTGGTAGTAAGGATAAGCAGATAGTTCTCAGGCATGACACCAATGGCACAATATGTAAAATTAAATAATAAAATAAAAAAATAAATTAAATTAATAAATTAATAACCTGGACTCTACCAATTTAAATGAATGTAAAATTAATAAATTAGTAAGTTGGGCTCTACCAATTTAAATTAATGTAAAATTAATAAATTGATAAATTGAACTCTCCCAAAATTAAAAAAACTTTTGTGCTGTGAAATATTCTGTTTATTTATTTATTTAAAAAAACCTTTTTAAAATGTTTATTTATTTTTGAGAGACAGAGAGACAGAGCATGAGCAGGAGAGGGGCAGAAAGAAGGGAGACACAGAATTTGAAACAAGCTCCAGGCTCTGGGCTGTCAGCACAGAGCCCGGTGTGGGGCTCAGACCCACAAACCATGAGATCATGACCTGAGCCAAAGTTGAACGCTCAACCGACTGAGCCACCCAGGTGCCCCTGAAATATTCTGCTTAAACGATGAAAAGACAAGCCACAAATGGGGAGAAAAATCTTTGCAAACCACACATTCAACAAAGGCCCACATAGAGAATATATAAAGAACTATTAAAATCCCAAAGAATTGAACATATATTTCACCAAAGAGGGGATATGGATGGCAAAGAAGCACGTGAAAAGATGTTCAATATCATTAGCCTTTTGGGAAATGTAAACTAAACATTAAAACCACAGTGAGATATGGCTAAGATAAAAAATGGCTGCTAAAATGGCTAAGATAAAAAACAGTGATAATGCCAAATGCTGAGGTGAAAATGCAGAAGCTGGAACTCTCATATATTGCTGGTGGAAATCTAAAATGGTACAACCACTCGGGAAAACAGGTTAGCAGTTTCTTACAAAACTGGACATGCAGTTACCATATGACCCAGCAATTACAGTACTGGGTGTTTAGCACAGAGAAAAGAAAACTTATGTTCACACAAAAACCTGTACATGACTGTTCACAGCACTTTCATTCATACTAGCGAAAACCTGGAAACAGATCGACTGTCCTTCAGTGGGTGGATGGTTGAACAAACTCAGGGAGATCCACACAGTGAAATACTATCCAGCAATAAAAAAATATTAACTATGAATACAACAATATATGCAACAATCAAAGTGGACCTCAAGGGCATCACACTTAATGATAAAAGCCGATTGCAAAAGGTTACGTTGCTATGATGTTTGATTCCATGTATGTAACATTCTCTGAGTGTTAGAGAGATGAAGAATAGATTCGTGGTTGCGAGGGTCAGAAATGGAGAGAAGGGGCTTGGACACACAAACACAAAAAGATAGCACAGTAAGTTCGTGGGTGGTGATAGGACAATTTTGTATCTCGATTGTAGCATTACAGGAATATATACATGTGGATAAAATTGCATAGAGCTATACACACCCAGAAACGAATACAGGTCCTAAAATGATGAAAATAAAAGAAAGTCTTGAAATGTCAACTCCCTGGTTTTGAGATCATACTGCAGTTACTTTATATGTCACTGGGTGGAATTGGGAGTACTAATTTTGCAAACTCCTGTGAATCTATAATATTGCAAATGAAAATGTTTAAACAGTTTTTTGAAACGAAAAAAAAATAAGAGGAGAAAACCATCCTTGTCAAAGACCTTCCCCTTATACAGGGCAGTTCTCTTTGGCGGTTGCTTTCTCTACAATGGCCTACTCCCTCTCTTTCCTCCCCAGGCACTCAACGTGACACCCTTTTGAAGTTTCCAGTGGACTGCTAGGTGCCTTAGACCAGGAGGTACAGAAAAGTTGCATATATAAAAATAGTTCAAAAGAACACCAGCAGAGCAGATTCACCAACTGTTAATATTTAACTCATTCACCCTATCAGATGACATCTAGCCAGCAACCTGTATCATTGTTTCTGAATCCTTTCAGGCTGTTTCATCCCCTGTGGGCCTCCCCTAAGTACTTCCATGTTTATTTCATATTTATTATACAATCACAGTACTATTCATTTCAGTAATTGTTTTTCTTTTTTAATGTAAATTTTAGTTAGTTAACATACAATGCAGTATTGGATTCAGGAGGGGAATTTTCAGTGACTCATCACTTACATACAATACCCAGTGCTCATCACAACAAGTGCCCTCCTTCATACCCATCTCCCAACCACCTCTCTCCATCAACCTCTGGAGTCCTTAAGAGTCTCCTATGGTTTATTCCCCTCTTCTTTTTTTCTCCTCCCATATGTTCACCTGCTTTGTTCCTTAAATTCTACCTATGAGAATCTCAGTAAATTTAACAGTGATGCAATACTTTAAACCCTCGTCCTTACTACACTTCTATCAATGGCCCCAATAATTTCCAGTACATAATCCAGCCTGGGGTCAGGTGAGGCACTGAGTTGTCATATCTCTTTGAAAGCCTTGGTAGCTTTGCTATTGATCTCTCCTTGTCACGGGGCACTCAGAAATTGCGTCTGTAAACTGGGTCGTAGTAACTTCACCATCCTTTGCGAGTAAAGGCGCTTTAACAATCTATGAGACCTAAATCGAGTATCTCTCTTCTGCATCATCATTGCCCAGAAGGTCTAAACTTCAGATGTGGGTCGGAGCAGGGGAGGCCCTCTTTGGTTTTTACTGGGAGCCAGGGAAAAGAACGTAGGGCAGAGGGGTGCAAGCCGGGGTGGGGGGGAGGAGGAGGAACTGGGGGAGGAATCCTGCAGCGGAGCGGTGACGGAGACCCCGCGAGGGACTCCCCTTCCCACCCCCTCACCTGGAGCGCCGGCGGCCAATCGGCGGCTGCGCCCGGCTGGCCGCGGCCAATGGGAAGGCGGCGCGGCGCGCTACCCCGGGGCTATAAGTGCGCAGAGGCGGCGGAAAGTGAAAGTGGTGCGGACGCGGCGGACGCAGCTGACGCCGCCAGGGCTGCAGCAGAGCCGCCGGGATGCTCAGGGTTCCGGAGCCGCGGCCCAGAGAGGCGGGGGCGGCCAGCCAGTCCAAGCCGCTCACCTCCTTCTTCATCCAGGACATCCTGCGGGACGGCGCGGAGCGGCGCGGCGGCCACACCGGCAACCCGCAGCCCCCGTGCCCGCCGGACCCGCGGCGAGACCTGGAGCGGGAGCCCGAGGGAGGAAGAGGCGGCGCCGGGGCGCCCGAGGACCCGTGGAGCGCCCGGCCGCGCGCTGCGCAGGAGGCCGACAAGCCGGCAGCGAGCGAGCCAGGTGAGGCGGCCGGGCCGGGCCGGGCCGGGGTGCGGTCCCGCAGGAGGGGCGGGCGGGCCTGGGGGCCGCTCCGGAGCGAGGGCGGGTCCGAGGCGGGACTGGCGCAGCTCTGGCTGCGGGATGCGGGGCCCCGCGGCGACAGGCCAAGGGACCCCACCGCCTCCCGCCGCGGGCGCGCCTCGGAAATTAACGCCGAGCCCGGCCGTCCGGGCGGCGCAGGGTTTATGCATGGACTGGACTCGCGGGACCCAGTGCTCCGCGCGCGGCGCCCCCAGCCCCAGTGTCCCGGGCGAAAACCCCGCCACCCGCTCCCAGCCACCGCGCGACCCTCGATCGGCGCCAGCCCCGCGCTACCTCTTGGCAGTTACAATTACTAACAGATTACAAATAACTGATCATAACTTATTCATGGTAATAAATTAGGGTTTGGCCAGCGAAGACTCCCTCTGCTTGCCAGTTCCATGGGCAGTAAAACTAAGTTTGGAAGGTCCCTCAGGCCTTCAGGACATATAACACCGTTGGACACATCTGAAGTAGACTTATTTCCTTTCCTGTCACTTCGGATGAGGCATCCTAACGGCTTGTTTAGAAAAAGGGGGACTAAAGGCAGAGAATGAATTTGTCCTTAGCTCCTGCCACTTCTCCTATAGCGCAAACCCTCTCCTGCCACCGGGAAGTTAACACTGATGTCTTTGGGTCCTGCTTTTACCAGGTGTCTTATTTCTGTTTCTTCCCTGTGTCCCTTCTCCCACCTCAGTACACTTATCCAGGACCCTATTTAATTCTACTGGATGATATGTCAGGAAGTTCTGCCACTAACCGGTTCTAACTCTCGGTTCTTGATGACTATTAGAAAGCTAATACATAATATACGTATTCAGTCACTCCCCACCAGGGAGAGTTCCTTAGTCATGTGAAGAAAGTGAAATGTATCCAAGATGACACTGGGCCGTTTGTTCACTACCAAAGAGATAAGGGTGGATTGAATTCGGTTCCCGTCCCTCTAACATGTAACCTTTTCCTTCCCATCCCTCCTTCTCCCTCCTCCTCTCCAGATGGACACTTTGAGACTTATCTGTTGGACTATGAAAACAGTGCGGGCTCCTTACCAAGCCTTCCCCAAACCCCAAAGCAGCCACAGAAGCGATCTCGAGCCGCCTTCTCCCACACTCAGGTCATTGAGTTAGAGAGGAAGTTCAGCCACCAGAAGTATCTATCGGCTCCTGAAAGGGCTCATCTGGCCAAGAACCTCAAGCTTACCGAGACCCAAGTGAAAATATGGTTTCAGAACAGACGCTATAAGACCAAACGAAAGCAGCTCACCTCGGACCTGGGAGGCCTGGAGAAGCCCCCGTCCCTGCCGGCTCTGAAGGAGGAAGGCTTATCCCAGGCCTCCCTCATCTCTGTGTGTAACAGCTACCCTTACTACCCCTACCTGTACTGCTTGGGAGGCTGGAACCCGGCTTTCTGGTAATGCCGGCTCATGTGACAATAACGAATGATCAAAAAAGACTGCCTGCCTTCCCCAGCTTGTCTCTCTGGATGGCAAAAGGGACCAGGCTCAGGGAGGACAGAGGAGCAAGAGGGATGCAGACTGAGATTGCTGGAGGTTTGCATGGACATCCTAGATTCTGCACTGGTGGGCTAGTGAAGGCACTGGGACAGTGACTGATACCCAGATAGCTCCCCAACACATAAAATGGGACATTTTTGCTCTTAAAGACCTGTGTGAAGCAGGGAGGGATAAAGCCTGGTGCTGTCTCTAGCACTTTCTGTGACTCCGTCCGAGCGGCCCCCATCACTTCTGAGGATGTCGGTTCACCTCCATCCTCTTGTGTAACTCGGCGTCAGCCTGGAGGGATGCAGACCCCGAGGGAAAAGGATGGCCAAGAGGAAGGCGCCCCCTCCTGAGTCCTGAATTACACTTAAGTCCAAAAACATCTCGCTGGCCTTGGTTTACAACGAAGGTGTCTCCCTGTCCCTGTAAGAGGGTGGGAGACAGAGGCTCTCACAGAGAAACCGGCCACGCTCAGCACAGACCGGCGTGGGATATGGCGATGGGTAGGAGGAGGTGGAAAGATAAGCGTCTTCTTATTTTTTAAGTAACACACCAATCTAAGTATTCACAGGGTGGCCCAGGTTAAACAGGAAGCACTCACCGTGGTTTTAGGACCAGCTGTATAAAATGAACTGTGCAGCAAGGGGTGGGCCAGGGCCAGAAGAATCTCCTCATGGCCAAGACAGCAGCCTGAGGAGGGCTCTCGGCTCGGCTACTGGGCGGCATTACAGTTCTATTAATAAAGGTTAAATAAAAGCTTCCTCTGGACATTTTTGCCCTGGACCTGAGAATTCAAATGAGAAGTTTCCTGGAGTTTTCAGGCTGTAATTTATATTACACGACAGATCACATAGTTCTTTCCTGTAAACTCCTGCCTTGCCTTCCTTCTGTTTTTGTTCCCTTTCCACAACAGTCGCCCAAAGGACTTCTTTTCCGTCCAGACTTTTAGTCCGGCTGCACCTAATGTACACCCTCCTATTTAGCTTGAGATCTGGTCTTTATTTTTTTTTCCCTTAAAGCTTTATCTCTACTGGGTTTAAAAAAATAAAGTAGTTGGGGGGTGGGGGGAGATTCTGAATTGGCTAAAAGACATGCATTTTTTAAAACTAGCAATTCTTATTTAAAAAATAAAAAACCCCAGCAACATTAAATCCCAAATCCTATTTAAAGACTTGACAGGTCTAAAAGTTCACTGCTGACTCCCAGGCCGGCTCTGTTGTTACAAAGTGCAAAGTCTGACAACCCTCTGGGATCCCCAGAGGGGCAGGCAGAGGGGGTAAGAGGCACTGGGCTTTCAGACACAAGCGGAACAGAATGAACTGGGAACCATTGGGCTGTCCGGTGGAAATAGAGGGTTCACGGGCAGGGCGTGGAGAAAAGGCAGCTGGCACCTTAGGGAGCGGGGTCCCCAGCTGCAAGCTGAGTGGGCCGATAGCACTTTGCCAGAGGGGGCTAAGAGAAAGGAAACAGTTTCTAAAACATACTAGCGGCGTCCATCACCAAACAAGGAAACTGTCCCAGTTCTTCAGGAACTGTGTTTCATGCCTTTACAGAAAGGGTCCCCCAAAAAAGACAACTAGTGACTTCAGCGAGAATGAGAAGGCAAAGAAGAAATTGGGCCACGCTTCTGTTTCCACCCGATTGTCTAAGGTGACCTGGCAGAGGGGAGACCTCACAGTAAAAGAAGCCAGTTACTAATGAGGTACCCTGAGGCCTGGAAATCTCTTGATCCCACTACTTAGTTCTGTTTAGTGAGAAACCATTCAATTTCCTCCTATTAAAAGGGCCGGTTTACTGTTGGTGGCAAAACTGCCAGAGTTGATAGAAAGTTGGCCCATTTCACCCCATCTCCTACCGTTAGGGCTCCACGTTGAAATACTGTTAAATGCGAGGCGGCTGACAAGTACTCGGGGCACAGCCAGCGGACTGGCCTAGACTGGCCTAGATTGCTTGCTCCGTTCACAAGTCTTTCAAGAGAAGCTCACTCCCTGTTCAGTACCCTCTCTCGCGCTCCCTCTGCAGTTAATTCCTTCAACGTTCTGTTCTACAAGTATTGCACATTTTAGTCTGATGCGTGCTGTGTTGCAAACAAAACAAAACATTGTTTAAAATTATTTGGTCTGTGACTCTGACTTGGTCTTCCTCCACCGGAGCTAGTTACTCGCCCACCTCTGAACTGCTGGAACAGCACTCGAACTCCTGTTGGGTATCTGATAGGTGAACTCAAGGGCGCCCCTGACCACTTCACCCACACAGCCTGCTTCCGTTTCATAAGTTAGTTTGGCTTCTCCACATGCATAACGAACCCTGCTTCAGTCTGCAGCGTGAAAGCCTGTGACTTGATGTTTAGCAAATGACCCCAGCCAAACTTTATTTTTCTATGTGTTTTTTTTTTTTTTTTGCAACATGAGTGTTTTTAAAATAAAGTACTGTGACTTTATTAGACGTATTTGGTGCGTGGCTTTCTGTTTCCCAAAGGCTGCAATGCTGCTGAGCTTGCATACTTCTGGTTACCGTGTTCTCCCTCACTCAGCCTGCCTGACAAACCTAAAGGAGACCCAATAATCAAAAGACAGTGGCTTAGCCAATGGCAGATGAGGGTCATTCTTTTGTAAACGCACTGCCCATCCACACAGGTGCGCGCCCGCGTGGGCGCGCGCGCGCGCGCGCGCGCACACACACACACACCCCCTGGTAAATCCTGTGGAAAGGAAAGAAATTTCTGCCTTCAGTTTAAAAATCACCTGCTCCAGCTCCAGCCCTTTCGTTTAAACAGACAGCTTCAGGTACTTACGTGCCTTTCTAGGAAGACCCTGAAGGACTATGGAGAGCACAGCAATACTTCTTGTAAAATGCCCCCTTTCATCTCCCACCAGCTCCTCCCCACTGTAACGGCTTCCCAGGCTCTCTGGCGTGTTCATCTCCCTGGAAATGTCCCCTTCACTCAGGGCAGGTAGACCCCTTGGAAGCAACACCTTTGAACTGCAGTCCCCCAGTATTGGAGATAGGTTTGAAATAAAATATATAAATCACACATCCGTCACCTGCCTGCATATAAGCCTTCATTAAATCCCACAGAGTGTCTCATGCACCTGATTACCTGAGAGAAGTGATGGTTTGACCCTCCCTGGAAGTGACCCTCCCCCATCCCTCCTTCAAGGAAATAGAAGCTTAAAGAGTAAGGTGCTTACTCCAGGGAAAACATATCATAATTTCAAAGTTTGCTGTAATCCTTTAAGTACATTGTACACACAGGTGGGGCCTCCCGTAGTATGTTTGCATCATGAGATTTAACTCTGTGCACAAACGCATAGCCATTCTCGCCTCCCCTGGAAGGCCATCAGCTCTCCAATTACAAAGCCTCTCACAGAAAATGAACAGATGTGGGTTTTGTTTTTTTTTTTACCATTAAAAGTAACTAATCCAGGAAATTAAACAAAATCTCTCATCTCTAGAGAGAGTTCTCTGCCTCCTCTTGTCGCTCTTCCAACTTTCCCTCAATATCTCTGTTAATCTCACACCCGTCCACTTCCAGCAGCTCTCCTGAGCATGCTACATGCTTCTGGTATCTGGAATTCCTTTGCAATCTATCTCTCAAGTTACTTCAGGTGCAAATTGCTAGTGTCACCGGCTTTGTCGCCGGTGGCCCCGTTTGTGCCCCCCAGGCCTCGTTAGGAAGGCCGAGCTGCCAGAAGGGGAAGTGAACATCAGAGATCTACACCTGACCAAAACGTGTTCCTAACAAAGCAAGCCGTCTTTCTAGGGTGCTGGTTGTGCCACACATCTTAAAGCTGACTTCAGAGGGACCAGTATGGGAAAGTCACTTAGCTCAGGTGCCCAGCGACAGAGAGCTGCATGCAGGTTTATTGAGAGCGCACTCAGGAAGTTCACCCCACAGGAAGTGAGGACGGCACATTGAGGAAGCTGACCTATAATGCAGGTGCAACTGAGGCCTCACCCGATACTTTAGGAGGCTCCAAAGCTGATGTGTCCCTGGTTGAGGAAAGGCGATTGGCACTTGTATCCCGGCATCAGCCACTTTCTGAAAGTGGAATAACCTTGGGGAATGCAGTTCCTTTCTGGACAAGGTGCTGGCCACTGAGAGACACAGTGTGAGTCCAGCAACCATGAGGGTGCATTTCCCCAGTATTGGGGGCTCAGTGGAACGCTACGGAATTCACTACGAGACATGCGATCCTTTCCTTGGTGGCTCTCAGGGCCATGGTCACTACCATTTTTTGCAATGAGAAAATCCAAGTCAAAAGGGTCAGACAAGGTTTAGAAGCACCGAGCTCTGCACTGAGACATCCAGAATCTGCTTCTCCCACAGCCATCACGATTGTGTCACCGGGGCTTGTTTTTCAAGGTCAAGAGTTATTTACTGCCCAAGAAAAGGGGCAGGACCAATAGTCCCAAGATATGAAGAGCTCCTAGTTTAGTCATAGATTTGGCCTTTATGCAAACTTTCCCAGACAGACTACCCTGTCAAAAGTCTGCAAAGGAAGGCAGAAGAATCTCTCGGCTTCCATACCATGCCCTCCTCTCACCTCTGCAAAAGCCACCTCCACTTATTCCCTGAGCTTGCTTTGGGCCAAAATGGGGCTCAGGAAAAGTCTAGGATAGGTCCCCGTGTGGCCTTTTCCACCTGGGCAGTCACCACCTGCTCCTGGCCGACCAAGGCATAACCCTTATTGGGGAGATAACGGGGTACAGAGGAGGAGTGACGCAGAGGAAAGTCCCACCTTCTCCTCGGAATGACTGTATGATACTTGTAGAGGTTTTTTTAAAAGCCTAGAAATCCCTGGTGGTGCATGGGGAGTGAACGTCAGTTTTGCTCTTGTGAAGGTAGGAGTCCAGCAGCACTGAGTCTCAAGTACCGGCGTCCTCATGGTCTTGGTTGTATTTGATCCTTGGGCTCGAGGTTGCCAGCATTGGCTGCGTGTTAGAATGCCCTGGGAATACTCACAAAAACATCAGAGGCCCAGCCCCACACCAGTTGCTCTATAATCTCTGAAAGCAGGGCTTGGACATCAATGTTTGGGAACACTAATGTCCAAGGTTATAAACCACTTGCTTAACTTCTTTTTTGGTTGGTTTGCCTCCTCAGCCTCACAGGTGCCGGGACAAGGTTGGGGAGGGGGGGTGCTGCCTGTAGGAGCCAGCCAGGAAGGGAAGAGGGGCTTGGGGTTTTGTTTTGCTTTGTTTTGTTTTGTTTCCTTGATCTCTCCTTTTACAGGGAACAGATGGTTAGCTTTTTCTTACTTTCTTCCGAAACCTCCTCCTCCTGGAATTTCTGACATCATCAAAAGGCCCTCCATTATCCGGGAAAACCCAGCTCATTCCAGTTAATCCCTCACTCAAAGCTGCAGGGACCCAAAATGCCGGGGATTTGGCCAACCTGGTAATCCAGAAGCACTTATTACCCATCTCCAACCCAGGTCCATCCAGACTGACAACACACTCCGACTGCCCACAGAAGACAGGAAAGAAAATTCTATCCTCACCTCTTGCCAAGAAGATTTCACCTGCCCTGGAAGCACAGAGCCTTATTTGTGTACTGCTGGGAACAGGGGTGTCCTTTATTTATGTTTTTAGGGGTGTCCTTTAAATCTGTCAATTAGTGTCACACTTGCCTAACAATGCATCTATCAGGATTAAGTCATAACAGGATTAAGACATAACATTTACACTTCCTTCTGCCAAATTGGTAATTTTAAGCTTTTGGCTTTTTTAAGTGTGTGCGCAAAGATGCCTAAGGCAGAGGATGG